TGTAGTTTTTGGCTTTGAACCTTCCTTTGTGAGACACTATTGGATTTACTAGCTAACCAGTGAACATGATGTCTTGAACCGTTCAGCCATTTGTGTAAACCAAGACAATAAAACTCATACAGTATATTACCAGACACAATTTAGTTCTCACTATTGTGTTCATTTTGGCCCTGAACAACCTGGTCTTTGAGTGCTTTAGAGAATTGTAGTCCTTCACAAATCTCATAGAACCAGCCCAATTCACACTTATATAGGTGATTCTTATGAAGAGTATCCCGCCATACTCCACTAGGTATTCCTAAATATAAGAATCATTAAAAGTATTACTTAACCTAAAACGCTGCAGACATCACTATTTCATCATAGAAATAGGTAGGAGTTTGACTCCCCAGTGATCCTTATGAGTTATACACAACTCGATTGTCCTTTTGAACCTAGATCTTGGGATCTCCAGTCAACTAGATTGGGTTGCCGTTGTGGTAACTCTTATTAAATAGGCTTAAGTCCCACTCCGTTCGAAGAATTCTCAACTAACTCTCTTGCTAACTCTTTGGTTAGTGGATCTGTTATGTTGTCTTTAGACTTCACATATTCAATGGAAATAATTCCATTAAAGAGTAGCTGTCTCACGGTATTATGTCAACGACGAATGTGTCGTGACTTACCGTCATACATATGACTCTGTGCTCTACCAATTGCTAATTAACTATCATAATGTATGCAAATAGCAGGCACCAGTTTTGGCCACATTGGAATACTTCAAGGAAGTGGCGAAGGCATTCTACTTCTTTCCCAGCTTTATCTAAAGCTATAAATTCTAATTCCATAGTAGACCTAGCAATGCAAGTTTTTTTGGAAGATTTCCAAGATATAGCCGCTCCACCAAAGGTAAAGACATATCCACTGAAGGATTTTGAGTCTCTAGTATCCAATATCCAGTTTGCATCATAGTATCCTTCAAGTGCTGCTGGGTATCAAGTATAATTTAGCCTAATGTTACGAGTAAATCGGAGATATCTTAGAACCCTTGTAAATGCTTTCCAGTGTTCTACTCTTGGATTACTTGTATATCAACTCAATTTACTTACTGCTAGGCTATATCTGGGCAAATGCAATTTATCAAGTACATTGAGCTTCCAATAATTTGGGCGTACTCTAATTGAGAAATACTTTCCTATACATTCTTAGAAAGAAACAAATTAACATCTACAGGTGTTCTAGCAAGATGATCATCATCTTTGCTAAATTTGTCAAGTATTTTCTCAATGTAAGATGATTGTGACAAAGCATATCCTTCTGATGTTTTGGTAATTTTTATACCAAGAATTACATCAGCAATCCACATGTCCTTCATGTCAAAATATTTATTCAATATTTTCTTGGTAGTTTTAATCATATCATTATTACTACCTATCATGAGCATATCATTCACATAAAGACATACTATAACATATTCTTTGTTTGTGTTTTTAATATAAACACATTTGTCATATTGATTAATTTTGAATCCATTCGACATCATTGCCTTGTCAAATTTCTCATGTCATTGCTTTGGCGCTTGTTTTAAACCATATAATGATTTAACCAATTTACACACTTTCTTTTCTTTTCCTAGAACAGAAAATCCTTCTGGTTGTTCCATGTAAATTTCATCATTTAACTCACCATTTAAGAAAGCTGTTTTCACATCCATTTGATGAATTTCTAGATTGTACAAAAATATAATGGCAATTAGCATTCTAATAGATGTTTTTTTAGTAACTGGTGAGTATGTGTCAAAGTAATCAAGACCTTCTTTTTGTCTATATCCTTTAATCACAAGTCTTGCTTTGTGTTTGTCAATTGATCCATTCGTTTTCATTTTTCTTTTAAAAACCCACTTGTACCCAAGATGTTTACAACCTGGTGGCAGATCCACCAATTTCCAAGTGTGATTTTGCAGGATGGATTCAACTTTGCTACTTATGGTTTCTTTCCATAAAGAAGCTTCAGGATTGGACATAGCTTCTTTGAAAGTTAAACGCTCATTTTCTAACAAAAACGTTAAAAAATCTGGACCAAAAGATTTTGAGGTTCTAGCATGTTTACTACGCCGAGGTTCCTCTTCCTCATTTTGATCTATCTCTTGCTCTTGTTCTTGATTATGATTAGTAATAGCATCATAAGATCTTTTATTAGTACTAGCCTCTTGTCTAGTCTTATTAGGAAACGCATGTTCAAAGAAAGATGCATTCTGAGATTCAATAATAGTATTTATATGCATTTCGGAATGTTCTGACTTATGAATTGAAAATCGATATGCACTACTATTCGTGGCATAACCAATGAAGATGCAATCAACAGTTTTAGGACCTTTCTTAGTCTTTTTAGGACTAGAAATAGCCACTTTAGCAAAACACTCCCATACTTTTAAGTATTTGTAGGATGGTACTCTCTTATGTCACATTTTATAAGGTGTTTGATTCACTTTCTTTTGGGGTACTTTATTAAGAATATAATTAGCAAAAATATTGCTTCCCCCCACAAGTTCTGAGGTAATCCAAAACTTATTGACATGACATTCATCATTTTTTTTAAAGTTTTATTTTTTCTTTCAGCAATTCCATTTTGCTAAGGTGAGTAAGAAGCGGTGGTTTGATGAATTATTCCATGTTCTTTACAAAACTCACCAAAATGTGACTTTTATTCACCACCTCTATCACTTCTTAGTTTTTTTAATTTTCTTACCAAGTTGATTTTCAACTTCATTCTTATATTGTATGAAAGTTTCCAAAACTTCATCATTGGTTCGAATTAAATAAATATAACTATATCTAGTATAATCATCTGTGAAAGTAATAAAATAGTTTTTTCCACCTCTAGTTTGAATTGATTTAAAATCACAAATGTCACTATGAATTAATTCAAGTGGTTTCGTACTTCGTTTAATTGAATGAAAAATGAGTTTTAGTTTATTTTGCCTCAACACAAATTTCACATTTATGATTTGCATCAATTTCAAATTAAGGTAAACATTCTATATTAATTAATCTACGCAAAAATCCACAATTAACATGTCCTAATCTACCATGCCACAAATCTGAAGACTCAAGCAAGTAAGAAGAAAATATATTTTTGTTAATAACAGAGGGTATAATAGTGTAGCTCGATTTTTCATGCTCCTTTTGGAAAACGACTAAGCCCTATAATATCAGACTTCCGTGGTTCTGAATCTGAGCTCACAAGTACAATATGAAATAGATAAACACCAAAGAGTCCAAATCCAACAAATCTTTTAAAAAGTCGATTTTGAATCAAATTGCCAAAAATGGACTGTTTTGCCAGATATAGAGTTGCCACTTAAATATTTTTGAAAAATTTAGGAAACCCATGACTCGTGCTAAAGGCCACGTGTCTGTCATTACCAAGATTGTCTTGGCTCAGGAACTTAGGTACGAGAGGCAAAAGTCATGAATTGAGCACCCATGCTCGCCCGATCAAAGATCGGCCTCTACTAATTATGATATGAATCTTATTGATGTTATATGCTCTTGTTCTGGTTATTAGACTAACTTTACTATGTGATGCGCACACACACGTATAGACTAATTTGCAAAAATTGGAACACTTGATCTCATGTTTGTTTTGAAAATTATTTCGAATATGTACCACTTGAAAAAGTGATCACATATGAACATTACTCAAATTATTCTAATTCAAGCAATTAGCCTCATGGAAAGCATGCTAAACATGGCAACAATCACATTCGTGCAATATGCTAAAGCACAAAAGAGCTCACCTAGTACTCGAAGCCAAAAAGATGAAAGAGTTAGGAAAAATGTGTGATCCTAACTATGCAATATGACTAATGAAATACATGCAATATGAAATTACTAAGCTTGGCTACTAATATAATATGGCATATGAATCAATTTGATTGCATGTGGTCTGAGCACGTATTCAAAGAAGTATTAACTAACAATGCGAGTTAGAATGATGAGCCAAACTCAATGCATGCAAGACAATGGATGCAAAGCATGAGAGATGCTAAACGAAATATGATGTTCTAAACTAACCATCATAAGCAGGTAAATAAAATGGAGAAAGACGTGGGTTGGAAGGCATACACATTATTATAATTGTGCCCTCACGTAGGAGGGTAGGGTCAGCCCTGAGATTTAGGGGGCCCAAGGCGAACTTCGAAAATGGGGCCCCTTTTACATTGAAAAAAAAAAGTTCATGGATAAAACGATAAGTTACAACAAGTTTTTTTATTTGTTTGTAGTTACAAAAAAATTTACTTGCACATATAATCATTAAAATTATAAACAAAAATTTACTTTTATATATTAAAATAGGAAGCAATCATTACAAATACTCAAAAAAAGTAAAAACCTAGTCTTGTTGCTTTATAGTTTAGCAATATCCAGTTTACAATTGAACCAACGATCACATAAACATTACTCTTCTCACATTTTTAGCCACAAAATCACTAATGAAGCTTGCATAATCAAATTTATCCACCATATCCTTTTCAATAGATAACAAAGCTAACCCATTCAATCTTTCTTGTGACATGGTTGACCGAAGGTAAGATTTGATTAACTTCAACTTTGAAAAACTTCTTTCTCCAGAGGCCACTGTAACAGGTATAGTTAACAAAATTCGATACACAATCCATGTATTTGGAAAATAACCATCCATTGTTTGCAAATAATTTAATACTTCAATTGGCCTTTTGCTTCTTTCCGGTAAAACTTCTTTCAAGACATTTAACTCTGAAAATAGATCTCTCCCATCAATATTAGAAAGTTCATCATGTTTCAAAAAATCTTAAAGATTAACACAATAAGTCTTCAAACATTCCTTGTTGGTAGAACTCAACTTTTTCAAATCAAACAAAAATCCAAAATTTTCCTCATATACTTGAAATTGTTCGAACCTACTCTTAAGTGAAGAAAGAGCTTAATCAATTATATACATAAAGCAATTAACTCTAAAAGATTCTTCAACAGTCTGTGTCACCTCTTCATAACATTCTCATCAAACTGCTTCTTTCTGCAAATGACACGCTTTTCACGAAATACTGGATCAATTTCCATTAGAGTAGTAACTTCTGTAGCCTCAATCATGGCATCCAAAAATCCAATTTCTCTATACTTTTCAAGAAACATAATGAGTCATTTTAACTAAATTATAGCAACATCAATATGCATGTCTTCCCTTTGAAATATTTTGCTAACTGAGTTAACTACAAACAATAAATTGTGCCAAATAATCATGCCAAACAAAAATTCAAAGTTCACAATTTCATATGTTGCTAAAGACTCAGCTTCACTCTTTGTATTGTGGGGTTCACCAATATTTTCCAAATGATTTAAAACATCTCTTATTTGTGGAGCTTGATATCTTATTGCTTTAACACTTTCAACACGACTTTCCCACCTTGTTTGTGACAATAGCTTCAATGTGAGACCTGCCACATGATCTTTGAAAACTTTCCACCTCTTTGTAGAAGATGAAAACAATAAATATATACGTTGTAACACTCCAAAAAAAGAGATAGCTTTGGGACAAGAGTTAGCCATATCACAAAGTGCAAGGTTAAGACTATGACAACCACATGGTGTGTAGAATGCTCTAGGATTTATTTCAAGTAGCCTTTTCTGTACACCTTTGTGTTTTCCTTTCATGTTAGAGCCATTATCATATCCTTGCCCTCTTATATCACCAATATCAAGTTGAAGTGTGCACAATACCTCTTTAAGTACATTAAAAAGACCTAGTCCCGATGTATCATCCACCTTTAAAAATTCTAAAAAGAACTCTTCCACCTTTACTTGATTAGTTGAAACATCCACACATCTTATTACAAGAGACATTTGTTCTTCATGACTAACATTCAGAGTACAATCAAGAATAACTGAAAAATATTTCGCTTCTTTGATTCTTTTCATAATTGTACTTTTGATCTCACCCGCTAACTTCTGTATCAATTCATTTTGAATTTTGAGACCAAGACAATGGTAATGAATTTCATTCCTTTCAATGCAATGAAGGTGGTCTTGCATTACTGAATCAAATTGAGTAATCATTTCAATTAAACTTAAACAGTTTCCATTTCTTTCTTGATAAATCTTCTCATTGTCTCCACGAAACGCTAAATTATTTTTAGCAAGAGTTCTCATAACAACAATTATCCTTAGTAACACATTTTTCCAATGTTCTCTCTCCCTATTGATTTGTTCTTGAACACCTTTATCAATTGTTTCATTCTTTTGCAATCTTTTTTCCAATTCAACCCATTTGCTCATACAAGTAATGTGCTCATTGCTAGTTTCATGACTTCTAAGCCTGTGACATAGATTCTTCCAATCTTTAAATCCATTAGTAGCCAACTGAGTCTTGTTCCCATCTTCCTTAAACAATTTACAACAAAAGCAAAATACTTTGTTTGAAGCATCTGAATATACTAGCCATTTCCTATCTTACTTCTTTCCATTTGATAAATCTCGAATGTAATATGTAGAGGAGAAATGTCTATCCTTATCATCTCTAGGAAAATCGACAACATTACTTCTTATAGGACATCTTTCAACTAATAAATCTCTGAAATTATGATCAATCTTGTACCAATTACTTGGGTCATTAATATTTAAAGGTCCATATTCAACATTACATTCAAAGATTCACCAAATCTTTATTTTCATTCTCATTCAAAGATTAATCTTCGTTATCATTCTCATTACATTGATTAAGTTCTTCAATTACCAAATCTTCATCAACCAAACATGAACTTTCTATTTGTTTCTTGCAACCAAAAAATTTATCAAGCGCTCCCAATTGAGATTGAATAAAATTTTCTAATATTTGCTTCTTTTTTTTTTCTTTCCTTTTTTCGCATCCAGAAATATACTTCATAGGAGGCATGACTATCCTATATAATCAAAAATCTACACAAATCTACAATCACGGATCTTTGCAAATAATTAATTTTCAGAATTAGAGCACAACAAAAATTATAGACTTCCACTAAAGCACATAAATTAGGTATTTTTCTAATTTAAAGAACAAATTATATAGGGCAAGAAATTAGAGGAAAAACAAGGGGAGGGGGCAATTAGGGCAAGAAATTAGGGGGAAAATTAGAGCAACAACTTCCTTCATTTAAATGTGATATATATATATATATATATATATAGAGAGAGAGAGAGAGAGAGAGGAGTCACAATTTTGCTGTCCAAAATCGTTGATTGATGCTCAGCGTTTGCGTCGAATATGGAGGGGAGGAGATGACTGAAGGTGGTATGAAGAAGGTGGACTCACGGCCGAGCCTGGTGCATGCAAGACAAATGTATGAATGCACGCATGCATAGCATAAGGTATGCTAATTTAAATATGCCCTAGTCTACCATCATAAGCGGGTAAATAAAAGGGAAGAAAGACGTGGGGTTGGAAGACATACACACACTCATGCACACTTATTACACAATTGCCCTCGCTCGAAAGTCCCGAATAAATATTACAATCCGAATAAATAATACTAAATTAAATATTACAAAATTTCTAATCTAATTAACAAATTAAATGCAAAGAGAAGACGGTCGCAGCCCCGCCTCGGGAAGCGTGAATGATGCATGCTCGGTCCATTTTGCCCGGAAACCCGTACCATGCCACTGCTGCCTCTGTTAATGTTGCCCTGCTCCTCTGAAAATTGCCAAAGTCTCAGGGTATCTTCAATGAGCACTGCATAACATCACCGGCTAAGTGAAATGACCACCGGCCATGGGAAACTTCCGTCGGCTGCTTTCAAGTCTATCGGCCACCAATATACGGCCGGTCGGCATTCTACAGTGCCGGTCGGCAAAAACTTTCTGCAGAAGCTGGTTTTTGATAGCAGCAGAGGACAGGTAGTGCATGGCATAGAATTTGAAGCACATGTAAGCATGGTCATGTTCCCTATCATGTATTGAACTCAGGGGAGCATGGTCCTTGATCCTTGGGCCATCAATTGCGCATGATAGCCTAAGGGACCAAACTTGCCATTCAATGTAAAATGCATGCAACACACAAATGAGGACCAAGACCCTATCATGTCAAAGTCAAGGGCCTCGGTGACCGAGGGTTGAGATGTGTTTCATCACTTGTAGTATGAACACCTCTCACCCTCACACTAGGTTTGACACCCCAAACCAAGCAATGCAATGCATGTTGTGCAAACATGGCTGAAAAATGCAACAAGAAGCTAAGATGCAAAACATGTCAAATGTGATGCAATGCAAACTATCATGCAAACAACATGGTAATGCCACTAGCATACAACACTACAAGCAATACTACAATGCACACTAGATAGGCAACTATGTAAAGAGGTGGGCATGCAACAATGCACAAACCATAAGGATACCACAACATGCAATATCATGAGCATACTAGAAGATGCAAATATATGATCCATGGACTTACACTAAGATGGAGGACCCTCAGCCACACCCCAAAACAGTGGCCAAAAGTGATGGAATGATGGGCAAATACTCATGCAAACTTGCATACCAAAGAGCAAAAGGCTAAGGCATAAAAGAAGCCTTCTACCACAACTATCATAACCACACATGGTATGAATAAAACATCCAAAAAAAAAAAATAGAGTTTTAATGCAATAAAACACACCCCAAAACCCTCATGAATGGCAACCCAAGTGACTTAAACATACAAGCATGCACAATGCCCATTTCAAGGCACAAAACAACAACACCTCAAGGCATAAAAGGATAATAAATGCTGTCATACGAGCATGATATAGGGACTGAAATAGCATAAGAAGTGACTCCAAATCATTTAAACAACCTAACCAAAGCATGCTAATGACCCATTTGCTC